TGTGTGTGTGTGTGTGTGTGGTTTAATTACAACAACATCATGCTGAACATCAAATCTTTCCCCCGGTCATACTAGATATTTGGGGACTGATTATGGGGGGAAGGAAGGAGAGTGACAGCTCAGAAAATGTTTGATGAATCCATCTCATTTAAAAATACGTAGGACACACAGGCATGAATTCATATTTCATTTGAAATAATTTGATTTTCAACTGGCCTTCAAGCCAACTTTGAAAAACATTTTTATATTAAATATACTGAGAACAATTAAACCTCTATGCGATGACAGAAAAGAGGTTTTAAAGCCATTTCAACAACATTACTCTATAAAGGACTTTTAGAAACAAATATGGCAGAATAACAAGATTTTACCAAGATGGGAGAATATTAAGTTAAAGAAGTCTTCTCTCACTGAAACATCATTTCGTATTTTGTAAATCTAAATCAAAATTTGAGTTGAGTAAAATATTTATTTATTTTTATTACATGAATAGTCTGTCTCTAAATAACTGGAATCCATTTATTTTATATATATTTTTGCTGCCAACAGAGAACACACTGTGATAGCCGAGATGAGTGGGTACCTACCTTCCCATTGGTTGTCGGGAAAGAGCTGGAGGTGGGGGTTGTGGCCGGAGATGGGTTGGCATGGCGACAGGTGGTTCCTGTTGGTCTGACTGGTGTTGGCGTTCTGATCACAGTGGCATGAACCCGAGTCCTGGAGGAACAGAGAGAGAGAGAGAGAGAGAGAGAGAGGGGTTAAAGACAGAAATCAGAGATGAAAGAATGAAGGAAAGTACAGGTAGACAAATGCTGTAATGTAAATTTGATTTGAGATATTCTCACTTATCGTTACTTACACAGCTTATGGTGTCAGTGTCAGTCTGCTCCATGATGTCACAGGATTGATTGTCCTGCCTGAAAACAAAGAGAAGAAACAGAGAAGACATTTGAAAAAATAATTACAATTAAAAGTTAAGAGAACAAAATACTCAATAAAAATAATCAATTCTACCAAAGCACTGTTACACACACATTCAACCGTGTCCTAGTAGTCCTAAATTGTCATTTTTAGGGGACATACCTTTGAGATATTTTCAGATATCTAGAGCTGTTGTTTTCTTTTCAGATGTAACTGAAAAAATGTCTTGTCAATCAGTCTCTACCACTGTAAACCTGAGAGATCTTTGGCTTAGAGCAAAGTCAATACTATTTTCTGCCCAGAACAATCTAATAATTTTAAATTGGAGACCCCAAAGTATTTCAGTCATAATTCTTCCACCTTATTTGGAGTCTTTGTTAGTGTCTGTGGCAGACCTGAACAACAGCAAACAAAGTCCCTTTTCAACTAAACGCCTCTACACGTCATAAATGATTTCTTGTCTCACAAAGCTGCTGCTGCTGCTGCTTCAACTGTTGGGAAATCTCCAATTTGATACATCTAAAGTCAGTGCTGTGTTTATTGATCTTTTACCCATTTCTTTCAGATAATGTGTGAAACAGTATTTAAGTGCAGCTGTATATATGATTTTATAATTAAACACTACATGCCACATCAACCACACTACGTTATCACAACCTGGAGGTGTGACAGTATGACGTAGGAGCTGTAAATCTACACAAGCACGCTCTCTAAGTGTGAGAGGGAGAGAGATAATGAAGGTCTGTTTCAGATGCAGCATAAAAATGAGCTCAGGCTGAGACAGCATGTCGAAGAGATTTGTAAACATGAGGTGTCAAGTGATCAGTGCAAGACAACATACCTCTCTCTGGGGAAGGAGGAAGTCCTCTCTCCACATCACTGACATACACTATGCTACATACAGCACACACATCTGTCTGCCTTGTTCAAATTAAGCCTATAGTGGGCCCAAATCTTCCTTGACCTCTTAACTCTGGTCTCCATACCTAATCCATTAGGCTAAAATGTCACTCTAATAACTCTAACTAGTATTTTCTTGATATAAAGATGAAACTGAATTCAATAAAGGCTTGAAAGCAAACAGACATCGACCCAGCCCACCTGGCAGTGTTGATGTTGTTCTCTGCATCCAGGTCCATTCCCGAGCTCTCCTCCAGGGTGGTGACAGAGTCCAATGAATCCTGGGAGAAAGCAACAGCAACAATTTTAGCAAGAATAGAAAAAACAGACGCATCCCTGTTCTTAGAAAGGCCACACACCATGATGTTTCACTTTGTTTGAGTATTCGGAAACACAATAGTTTCGTGCTTTGTCTTGAATAGTAGAAATCCCCTTATACATTACCACTACAGATTACACCTACATCTATCATGTAAGGAAACAATGTGGTCATTTTGACACAAATATATACAAGATGATTATCTGTCTTTTTTATCTTACCCTTTACAGTGCAAACCTCCAATCTGACCTTGTATTGTGTCTGTGTGTGCATGTCTGTGTGTTTGTGTGTATGTGTATGTAGGAGTGTTACATAAATCTGGAGTCCTGGTGTCAGTGTGTGTGTGTGTGTGTGTGTGTGTACAAGGCCAAAGGGGCTTTTACAATCGCAAATGCTAACCTTAATATCTCTGTACCCCAAACGGGTAGGTTTTATTGCAATTGTTCTGACTAATACTACATTATTGTTGAATCATGGTTGTAAACTTCCACACAGTAGGTTTAAAAATTTCTGTATACAAATTAACAACTACAAATTTGTCACAGAGGTATTACAACTGTTATATAAAGAAAGAAAATGGTGTGTGTGTGTTTTGGTTTGGTTTGGTGCACAGGTGTTGCTGTCATTCTTTAGCTCTAGGCTGATCTATTTAAAGAATTGTTCCCAAATTACTGTTTAAAGAGGTGACAGATTTCTCACTAGTCCCGGAACATGTCTCACTCTGTCTGCCATGTTGTCTGCTCATCATTTCTCCTGCTCTCTGGACACTAAAATGGTTCTTGGGACAAGAGCCACTGAGGTTCGATGGGGGTAGCAGCACTGAAGGGGTATTTCCACCGTGACATAGCTTTCTAAAACTGCAAATGACTCTGGCCTAAATATCCACACATTAATTAAGCACCAAAAACTTCTCTCTAATGGCAAATCTAAGAAATTAAGAAAAGCATTTGCACTTTTTTAAATTACTAAGTTTAAAGACAATGTACAGGTGGCACAATTTAGACACATTTTCTGTATGTGTTGAAAATATGATGCCAATTTCTGTGCTACTATGTACCCCTGGCATACAGTAAGAGCAAATAGTGGATAGGATTGTTGATTTCGTAAAGTTAAAAAAATCATGATGATGCAGACCCTCTTTCGTTAAACCTCACAAAGAGGTTTTTCACTGCTTTCACACTGAGCAGCACTTCTTTACAAGTACATTTCTGCCTTATGTCATTCCCTCATGACTATCAGTTAGTAGGAACAAAACCCTGCCTGTATGTATCAGTGTATTCATTGATCTGTGTATATTTGTAAAACAGGTCTGTTGTTGTCTCTGTTTGCTTCCCTGGTAGAATTCCAGCTATTGTCGCAATCGGAGCAGAACAAAGATGGACTGTGCTGATAATATCAAACATTTAGCCGTGGAATGAACCGACAGACTGAGACAGGAAGGAGGTTAGCTATGGGAAATATGCTGCTAGCCCACACAGCAACTGGTCAAAGTCTGTGTATTGTATGTGTGCGTTTTGATTCACATTTAGTGTGTGTGAGAAACATGGATGATGTGTGTTTGAGTTTGTGCAGGTGTGTGTTTCTGTGTCTCCAACAGACCTGTGTGTCTTTCTGGCTTTGTTGTATGTGCTGCTCGGCCTGTGTGAGTGGGGTCTCCCCTTCTGTATCGCAGGGACTGTCCTCAGGGTCCGTTTGTTGCTCATCTCCGTGGCAACCCTGGTCTGCAGGCTCACTGGGATTCACCCTGGACAACAAAAATGAAAATAAATGAAATAATGAAACTTTGAACAAAACTAATAGAATCATTTGTATTTACAAAGTTAAACTACTGAAATGCCACCGTGCCTTTATGTGCATGTTACATAAACCCTATTTGAGTATGCAGTGTAAAACTCCTGGACATCTTGTTTTGTCTTAGAGGTGACTGACTATTCAACAGCTGTTCCCCTCAACATGCAGGGTTTGCTAATTAACATCACTGCTGTCAACATGTTTACTGGTAAACTGAACCATCTGACTGACTTTGTGCCTTTGTACACAATGTTCTCTATGACAAATATGTTACTTTAAAGTAATCTGATGCCAATTTCCACCCTCTGAGGAATCTGTGTAATGCATGTTTCTACCAGCAGGTGCATGGAGGATAAATGCAGAACACAACAGTTTGTTTTTGCACAGTTTTGGCAAAGCTGTACAGACCTTCAGTGTGTGTGTTTCCTTATTCTCGATACAAGTGTATTTGGTTTTCATGCCTGAATGTGTGTGAATATTAATGTGTGTGTATGCACTCTCACCCTTGGCTGTCATAGTTGCTGAGGTCTTGGTCAATGGAGGTTTTCAGCTCAAAGAAGTGTTGCTCCACTGCAGCCCTGATGGTTCGCTGAATTATCCTGAGAAAACACACAAAATACATCAACTTAATTCATCAAGATTTCTATGTGTATTCACATTGTGTTACTGTGTGTGATGATGCATTGACTTTGATTAAAATAGGGTTCATATTCACACGGTTTCTGAGGCTGTCACACATTTGAACTTTGGCAAGGCAGTTAGTTATCGCATTATTGCAGTCTGTGTTTAAAACCCATGTTACTCATGCATGTATGAATGAGTTTAGTTCAAGGGTAAAACTGGAACAGCTCAGTTTAGCAGTAATTGTGTCTACTCAGGACCAAACCCAGAGGTTTACTTAACTACTGACCATATTTTCTCTATTCAGTCAATATCCAGGTAAATAGGGACAACTTGGATGCAGATTTTTTTCTTAATACAACGCAGAGCTAATCGATTGTCAAGCGTGTACATTGGATTGATTTGAATAACTTTAATGTAGTTGAAGTGTGCACTGTGCAACTGTATTATCTAGGCAAGTATTAGACCGGGACCGATTGGATCGGAAATCCCTATAAAAGATACTATATTATATTTAATATTTAGTAACAATCCAATTTTCTCTCACTGATCAGATCAAAAATCGTAATGTTTTAACAGTTAATTAACTGTTCAATATAGCTTCTATCCTGTGTTCTACAAATAGGGTTCAATGATGTGTAATGCTCTCCACTGTGTTCATTATTTGATGAGAGTAATTTATGTTCTCTTTTATTCAGTTACACAGAATCCAATAAGCTTAGTGCATCATTCATCCATTTAATTAAGACCTTTGTGTTCAGAATAAGGTTTATCAGGGCCCAGTAAAGATGCACAGGTTAAAACCCACATCTCTGGAACCACGTGTAAGCCTCCTCACATAATCCTAACTGTCATCAGCCTCTTTTAATGAATAGGAAGAGCCCAGATGATCAATTAACAGACAAAAGACTGGAGCTTTGAATGATAAACTAATGTGTTTACCTCGATCTCACATACGAGAATGCACCTGGCAAGTAGGGTACACAGTAAGAGACATTTTTTGAGAGCCTAATAATCTCTGAAAAGGTTTATTTTCCCTTCTGGGCTATTTAACAAGTCCTTATTAAGTCAATAACCTGGTTCAGATCTGAAAGGATTACTAATGCTTAAACTAGAGCCTCGGAAGAGAGAGGAGGAGAGGGCATTACGGCCTATAAAAGGTAACAACAGTCACAGTCTGACCTCTTCTACACTGACATGAAAGGGTTGATCCACAGGCTCTACTCAGACTTTATTTAACTTGCTTGACCACGTGTGATTATCCCTGTATCCTTTCCTTGTTTACTCTGGCTTCTAGCAGGCTGTTAAGCTTTGTTTCTCCTCCAGCTTAGACAGCAGTAGAGGTTAAAGACATGGCAGAAAACTCCAGCTCTCTTCGACTCCACACCAACTGCTGCTCCTGATAGATCATAATTCATCCTTTATAACATCATACTGACATCATGATCTTGAATGGAAGACTTGGAGCTGGAACATAACTGCGTTCGGGCTTCACATCCATGGCCATTTATGGTAAAACTCATAAAGGTGTTGGACCCGAGGTCAAATAAATGTGTGTGTGTGTGTGTTTGTCCTTGACTGCAAGCACACCTTCACCTGCAGCAGCAACTCAAGCTCTTGTGCAGGAAGCTCTACAAATAACTATCTATCACACACAGACACAGTTACCTAACACATAAGCACTGAAAGGTGATGTACATTGCACTCTTTCTCACTCACACACACAGTCAAGAGGTGCAGCATGGGTTTTGCTGCTGTCATCTAAATTTTGTCTAAATCCTCCCGTACGTCCTAACAGAGGAGAAGCCATGCTGATGGCAGGGTTTACGTTACCCGGCATTTGGCCAGTATCAAGTGTTGTCTGGCAGATGAAAACGTCAACGGCCAAATGTCTGCTGGGAAATATGCCCAATAAATAATTACATATACTCATTAATAGCATATTAAATAGCCTAATATGGTGTGATCTACAAGATACGTTGCCAAGACAATTTAAACTTATATTTTGCAACTAATTAGTTTTGTTGAGAGAAAATAACTTTTAACTGCACCCTGTTTATGTGTTCCTTTCTTGTTCGCTCTTTTTGACAACCGTTCTAATCAACCAGGAGATGTAGAGATGCTGTTACACGTCTGTTTAAACAGAGTTTAGCCAACTTTACTGCATTTACTGGACACCACATCACTGGAGTCGAAAGCACCAGTCAGAAACACATTTGCTCATGCGTCATGCTGTTTAGTTTAAACTGTGACGATTTGCTTCTTTTCTTTGGCTTGTGTTACAGTACACTGAATATGTTTGGGATTGGGAGTGTTGGTCAGATAAAACAAGCATTTTTCACTATTGACCTTTTATAGATATAATTATGTATCAAATAATTAAGAAAATACTCCGCAGATTAACTGATAATATGTTGATGTCAACAAATGCAAATGGTCAAATTGAAAATAACTTTTATTCCAAAGCAGAATATTACATTTGGC